TTTAGATGAAAAATTAAAAGAAATAGGGAAGATGAAGCGACATCAACATGGTTGCGAAGAGGACATCTGAAGCGCGAAACCGAACAGCCACCCAGAACAGCGCTATTTGAGTCATACAAAAATCAAGATAGACACACGGGGGTAGCATTTAGGCTATGCTAAACGAGAAACATAAAGATTAACCAGATAATAAGCAAATGCAGTTAGTTATCTTCGAAAGAATATGAAAATAGATATCATTCTCTGGGAAAAAAAAACAAAAAGTAAGAATAATAATAAAAAATACTATGGAACGTTGAACTTCAAGCGGGTCACCCAACTCATACCAAAAGCCTAAATTTAATTATGGTGAATAAAGAATAAAGATCTATCGGGACATGGCCAGAAAATGTAGAGTCAGTCTACCTAGAATTTCAGGTGTAAAAATAAAACCCAAGTGTCAAGTCCACAAATTACAATACAAAATTATAAACAACGCGAAGAAATGATCTTCACTGAAAAATAAGACGAAGCGAAATATGACAGTAACATGGTAAATATATTTACACGTTAAAAGTATATGTTCTTTGTTGTAGCCATGAAGAGATCAATAGTGCGAGTGTTCAAAATGATTTTTGTCGTGAGTCGGCAAAGTTCGAAGTGATTTGTTGCAAGTGAGTCTGTAAAGTTCGAAATAACATGTACGCCAGTGTGTGTGTGTGTGTGTGTGTGTGTGTGTGTGTGTGTGTGTGTGTGTGTGTGTGTGTGAAGCACACGCTAATAAAACACAGTAAACAAAAACAAATTGCGACAGAACTTACTTTCTCCGTGGCGTTGTAGGTAGAAAGATCATCACTAACTGACTCGTTGTCATGGTAACGTGTATCGAGGCTGGTCGGGTTCGCTGACATGTCTTTCGCCGACTGTATCATTGCAGATCTGGTCCTGTCTGTTGCGTTTCAGATCTCTCCGCTGTTCTGCTTCAGATCTCTCCGCTGTCTTGTTTCCGATCTGGTTGCTGTTTTTATGGCTTATGGCAAGTCTGTGACCGGCTCCACGATATCTATCTGATTTTGGGCGGGAACGAAATCTGTGACTCAAGCCCTGGCCTATTCCCAGGTCATTTGGAGTTCAACCGCGTGTACGTCGTAGAGAGTACATCACGTGACTTGTCATATGCAATCAGGTTCCAGAAACCAATTATTTAATTTTGGAGTCATGTTTTGTACAGGATTGTAACGTTTTTTCGTATCTACTGATTTTAGTAGGATTTATATGTAGAAGTCTCTCACTTGATTGTGTTTCACTTATTGGCCGTAAAATATAGGAGTTTATATCCTATAAGAACACCCATAGAAAACTATAATGCAATTGTCTATTTGCTCCAACGAGCTATTACGTGACTCGCAATGACCCCTTGAGACATAAATAAATTCATTCTGCCAAGAGGAAGATAATTGTCTTCTGTATTCTTACAATACCAATCTTATTGGGAAAATCTTGACTTGCATAACACAATCTGATATTAGCAATGCACTTAAATTATGCATATACCAGTCCTATTTTATCAGAAACATTTACATTAATTCATGTCCACTGACAATCTTTTATTTCCAGTACACAACTCTAAGATTTCTGGTTAACTTTAATGCCTCAAAAACAAAACTGCTCTCTATTACTCACCAGAGAGAACCATCCCTGCCCCCCACCCCATTAGAATGTCTGACGCTCAACTCCACGAGAGCACCTTTTTGCAACTGCTCGGCCTCACATTGACTGCTGACCTGAGATGGAACAAATACATTGAGTCAATAGCTTCGTCCACCGCTAGGAATGTTGGCTCCCTGTTTTTTTCTCGCCGAAGTCGATCCTTCAAATCTACAAATCAACCATTCGCCCTTGCATGGAGTATTTCTGCCATATATGGTCTGGAGCTCCTTCTAATTGTCTCAAAGTCCTTGATAAAATCAGGAGACGGATATGCAATGTAATTGGCCCTGATCTGGCATCTCGTCTGCAGTCACTCTCTCACAGACGTGCCGTTGCCTCCCTCTGTTTTTTTTACAAATACTTTCACGGTAACTGCTCCGATGAGCTGCTTTTGCTGATTCCCAGACTTCATGAATTTAAGCGTTCAAATAGGCTGGCATCTCGCTCTCACCTTTTCACTGTCGAAACTGTTAAATGTAGCCGTCTCTTCTACTCCAATAGCTTCATGTCTCGCACTTCTCGCCTGTGGAACTCCCTCCCCTTTTTCTGTTTCCCTGATAGCTATAATCTCCAACTATTCAAATGTAACGTCAATCGACGTCTCCAGATGCCCTGATCTATCTCCTAACCTTCTCTTCGTCCTTTCCTCTATCACTCCTCTTTGTTCTCGCTCCAACTCTGTAACCCCTTGCGTGCTAGTGGCTTCCCGCCTTGCTTGGGGTTGAAACGCTTAAAAAACAAAAACAAAAAAAAAATCCCTTGATTTTAACACCAAATTCTAGCATAGGTAGGAAATACATTATCGTAAGCATGGAAATGATTACCACTAGGTATACTTTGTGCTTATACAATGATGTAGCAAAAGACGATCCGATATTCCCTTCTACTAGAGGCGCTGTGGGCAATAATTATTAACATAATTCTGGCGCAGGGAAATAGTAGAACGGAGTATTCAGTGTTGTATTTATGAAGCTTAATTATGCAAAAGGTTGCAAGTGCGAGATACTCTATGAGAATCGTATTCAACAGACAGTTGAATTAGTCTGTTGGACGAGCTGGCTAGACACCACGCTACGGTCGGACCCAAAATTTGATAAATAACGTCTGGCACAAGGCCATAGAAAGAGATGCTGAGTGAAGATCGAAATCGCTGCATTAAAGAATTTGACTGCGAGGCGAATTTGATTATTATTATGCTATGGTTGACCTAATTATTTACTTATCTTAATCTGGTATAAGGACACTGTATAAAGAGTACTCGACGAGAATCGAAATCACTACACTAAATGGTTTCTGAGGTAATGTTATTTAATAATATTTTGGTATAAACTCAACGGATTTAATTAACTTTTGCAGCGATGGGATTGTATTTGAACTAGAAGTCCTACCGGGATTTATTATTGGTGGACACAATATTAACAACAATATGTAGATGAAAATGTAATGATGCCAGACACAGAAAGGAAAATTGAGCAGGGACTCCTAAACAAGATAAAAAAGGGAAAACAACAAGAACGGACTATCAATTGTAAGAAGATAAAACAAGATCGTTAGCAAAAGGAACAGTTCCCTATGCGAGATATGAACAGGAGATGTTAGAATCAAACAAGTATAGAAATTCTTCTATCTAGGAAGTGTTTAAACAGACGACGGAAATTGTGGCTCCGAAATCCGAAGACGCATTGGAATAGGGAAAGATGCCATCCAAAAACTAAACAAGGTATTAAGAAACAGGAAAATTTCGTAAGAAACAAAGAAAAAAGCTGAACTACTGTTTTATCAGTTTTTCTATATGACAGTGAATGCTAGATAACATGGCGGATCTACTAAGATACTAACTTCAGGGCCCTTAATACCGGAAGTAACTTTTTTTATAAGCTAATTTTTTTATGTTTGTTATTAAAATAGGTCCATTTTAGTAATAGAATCCTAAGTCAATCGGTTGAAGTAGTTAATCTTGGCACTAGAATACGCTCTAATACCAATATGGCCTCAAAATTCCCCTGTAATTGGTCAAATTTTTCATAGGAGATTGCAGCAGCCGAATCCCTAGCTTTATGGGTACGTTGAACTTGAAAGAATCTATTCATAGCCTACATTTTGGTATTATCATCCTTGGAACTAGTGTTGCTGGTTGCGAATGTCCACCATATTTGTTCAAGCTTCAAATCATAAAATGTAGGCCTTCTTCTGGTTAGATAATTTCATCGCCGGTGAAGAGGAGACATGAAGCTACAAAAATGTAGATTTATTCATAGCCTAAATTTTGGCACTTGAATCTATTGTTGCTGGCTGTTTAGGGGGTCACCATATCTGTTCAAGCTTCAAACCCCTAAAATATAAGCCTACCACTGATTAGATAATTTCCTCGCCGGTGAAGAGATTTGAAGCAATAGAAATCTAGATCTATTTATAGACTACATGCTTCAGGGCTCAAAAAAAAAAAAATGTAGGCCCGCCGCCACTGGCTAGATAATCTCCTCGCCAGTGAAGAGAAGACTTGAAGCAAGAGAAATGTCGCTCTAATGCTCAGAATAACATGAACGGAACCTATGAGCAACACGAAAGATTTAGGGAAAATGGAAACTACTTAGAATCAGAAAGAGGTTTGAAATTTCTAATATATGTATAGAGGGTTTAGAGAATTTAACACCCACTAGACGTGAAAGCAGGAAGGGAGTCATCGAGTAACTTCCCTAACGATCCTGGGAAAAAATGAATGTCCGAACAGAGCCTGGGATGGATAGTAAAGACGAAAAACGTTGTTTAGATGTGCGAAGGGTAGGAAGTGGTAGAGAGCCATGATCGCCCCACTTCCTGATTGGACAGGTCACATAAAATGCTTAGCCTGGCATAAGGTCATGGAAGAAAAGAGTGTTGATCAAATTCGTTGAATAGTCTGAGTAATAAACCTGCAACTTACTGCGCTAGAGTAGGCGTCCTAAAACTTGTTTCTTAAACACAGGGTTGCAGTTGGGAGCCTGCAAATAAAGATTGTTTATTCTGGACTCTGAGACAAACCTGCTAACCACTGCGCTGTGGCAAGAAATAAGCCCTTTATTTGCTCGTAATAAACCTTGGCACACTTCCGCTGCTACAATTAGAACACTGGATTAGACAAAACGGTTTTAAATTATACTTTCTCGGGTGTAAATTTGCGTGTTGTGTGTGTGTGTGTGTGTGTGTGTGTGTGTGTGTGTGTGTGTGTGTGTGTGTGTGTGTTTCAGTCCACTTTACAAAACAAACATCTCGACGGACTCCCACTCAGCCCCCCAGCGCTACCCCTCCCGCAGCTCGTAGTCAGAGTAAAAATGTTGAAACGCACCTGCCTCCAATGCAAAGAATTAGTAGATTTACTTCTGGGTAAACATGGGTCCGATATCGCCGATTTGTTACGCCCTTCCCCCCACGTTTGTTCTTCTGTTTTATTCCTTACCAACTGTCGTAACTCATTTTTCTTTCTTTCTGTCTTTCAAGCAGTTTTTTTTTTTTTCTTTCCTCTGCTTCCTTCCTCTTCTTTCTTCCTTTGTATCATTCAACTAGTACTCTTTCATTTTTAAAATACTTCTTCCCTGTACTTCATTTTTATTTCCTTTGCCGAGTCTTTCTTTAAAAAAAAAAACAATCTTTTCTTTAAATTCCTTCTTCTTTCTTTCCTTCTTTTGTGTATATTTCTTTTCTTTCTTTTCTTTCTTTCTTTCTTTCTTTCTTTCTTTCTTTCTTTCTTTCTTATCGCTTGTTTCATCTCTTTCTTTCTTTTCCATATCTTTGTTTCGTCCGATTGTTTCACCCATTTGTTCTTTCTTTCTTTCTTTCTTTCTTTCTTTCTTTCTTTCTTTCACCTGACACTCTTTTATTTCCATTTTCTCTCTTCTCTCTGCTTCATCCCTCTTTTTCCATTTCTTTTCTTTTCTTTCTTTCTTTCTTTCTTTCTTTCTTTCTTTCTTTCTTATCCCTTTGCTTTACCTCTCTTTTTCTCATACCTTTGTTTCATTTCATATCTTTCTTTTTTCTCAACACTTTATTTCATTTCTTTTCTTTCTTTCTTTCTTTCTTTCTTTCTTTCTTTCTTTCTCCTCCTTTTGTTTCATTTCTTTTCTTTTTCATCGCATTTTTTCATCGCTTTTTTTTTCTTTCCTTCTTTCACAAAACAGTTTTTCCTGTCAATTTTCACTCCTACTTTCCGCAAAACCGACCCTTACCCTCACGAATGGATTTACAGACCGTTAATGTGTTTTGAGCGGCTAAACATCAAAGAATTCCCTAGATGTGTGTGCAGACAAGATAAAAGTATTTTCTTCCGACCTCTGCAATGGTCGATAGCGTCTATTTTTGCGTCTGGCTAAAAAGACAGACTGATACACAAAAATGTCTTCAAGTGGAAAAATGTTCAAAAAAAAAAAAAAAATTAAAAATACTAAAGTATTGCCGTTGTAAAGTTGAGGCAAGCCCTTTAAAATAACATAAATAATACATGTTTTATTTTCTATTTTGATTCACAGATATCTATATGGGTCAAACTGATCAGTATTCTCTACAGACAATAATATCTGGTAGGAATTGTTGAGTCTTCTTATCCTATAGATATTTCTTAAGTTAAGATTAGATCGCAACACAAGGTCAAAATTGAGCAACACTAAGTAAGGAATGAGTTCACAAGAGAAACTTTTACAAGAACAAAAATTCCATGGCCTTTACATAACCTGTGTATAGTATATTTGGTACTATGATCAAAAACGGTTACAACAGGTACCTCCAAAGAAGAGCGATACCTAAGGTTTAAAATGCCTTATTGATATGAAAAATCTTTCTTGAGGCTTTTATTTTAGTTTTAATCCCAAGTTAATAAATTGAATTTAATATTTCCAATAAGCAAAATACTTTTCTGCATTTTAAACCGAATTTTAAATTGATAGGAAAATTGTTTTTATTATCAGTAAAATCGTCCATCTAGGCATGTTCACTTTTTCGCTAAAAAGTGGCATACCCTGATGAAAAACGCCCCAAAACTTCAAAGTTTTATCGCGAAAAGCTTTATGTTATTGATATGAGGAGAGAGCAAAGTATTTTTTAATTATTTAAAAAAAAAATATTCCTTTTTAGCACGTTTGAAATTTTGATTGAAAATCTTGTTTTTTTGTTTTTTGGGGTTTTTTTTTAGTCAGAGGTCACTTAATATTTAGCATTAGGTGTCCTTTAGCGTCTTTTTCAGTTGAAAACATGTTAATGTGGAAATTATTGCAAAAATCAAATAATTGTCGGAATTTAATGTAACTTTCAGAACTTATTCAAACAAAAATGAATAAATTTATTCAAAAAAATTTTGTTTTTTAGAAAGTCATGGTAAAAATATTTTTTACATTTGTTACCCAACCCCCTTAATTAATTTTATGAAAACTTTAAAACTAGTGACTGTGTAACTCTGTATTTTTGAATTAAATGAAGAAGACTTTGAGGAATATAAATCATTAATTTTTTATAAAATTTTACTCGCAACAACCCAAACTTTAGCTTTGAATTTAAAATACAAAACTCAATAAAACTAAGACATTATTTAATTAAAAAAAAGCATTTAATGGTTTTATGAATAATATTTATTAAGAACGTTTTTGTCTGAAACCAAATTTTTATTTATTTTTTGCAATTATAAATAAAAAATTGATAAAATTGATAATTGTTTGAAAATTAAATTTGAAAATGTATAAACTCTGGAAAGTCTCTTATTAAAAAGATCTAGTTTTACAGATCATAAATTAGAAAGCCTATTAAAATCTATTACATGTATCCATTTTTAAAATAATCTTATTATGCCAAAAAAATGTATTAAAATCGTCTCCGATAAAACTATGGATGCACATTTCTGAAAAAAAATATTACGTGTTCTAGGGTTATTTCCCCTGATTGTATGATTGCATTTCACTTAAAATTCACATAGATTTTGTCACTTCTGTCCTACCATCCAATAAATTCCCCTGACGTAAGTTGTCGATTCACACCTCCCGAAAAAAATCACCACGGTTGGACATGTCGCTCTTTAAAAAAAATTCTGCTAAAAAAGTAAGTAATATTTCTTTCAAATTACATTAAGTATACTTTAGATTTTTTAATTTTTCAAAAATAACTTTTGAAAAAGTATAATTGAATTTTACAAGATTTTAAACGCGGAATTTCACTTTTGTTTATAAAACTATCAAAAATAGATGACATGATTGATTTTACGCCAATTTGATGACTAAAAAACAAGATTTTTAGCTAAAATTTCGGACGTGCTAGAAAGGATTAAAAATTTTTTTAAAAACTTTAAAAATACTTTGGTCTTTCCTCTTAATATTGACATAAACATTTAGACAATACAACCAAGTTTGGGACTGTTTTTCATCAGGGTATACTCTTTTTTTAGTGAATTTTTGGACATACCTAATTAACAAATCAGTCAACACAGTAAAATTCACTTTATTAAAAAATCTTTAAAAAGTAAAATATGCTTTTCTGATACTTTATTTGAGCAAGATTACCGTATATAAGCCAGATACTGAATTAAGTTTTTTGTGAGGTGTTGGCATATCTATGGATAACCTGATGTTTACGAGATTTATGTAAGGGGAAATAACTATAGTAAAATTACATGACGAATACAACATGAACGCCTTTTCTAGATATTCTTTTAACTACACAGTAATGTTAAAAACTTAAAATATTTTATGCAATCTAATATTTTATTGGATTTTAAGTACTTTGGTTTTATAGTCTTGCTTACGAAGACGCTTGTTAAGAAAATGTAAAATTTGAAATTTAAATAGGTACCGCTCTTATTTTCAGATAATGTTGTGTATGGACGCCCGTATTTACAAAAGTCGGCACGTTTATACACACACACACACACACACACACACACACACACACACACACACACACACACACACACACACACACACACACTCACAAATTCAGTTTTCTTCTAAAGTACTGGGGGTCGCTGAATTGCAGTAAGCGTTTGTATTTATGATTAGTAAATGCAACTTTTATTTAATAACAATATCATTTATTCAATAAAAATTAATTCAAAATTTAAAATTTAAAACTTTATAAATTATTCGAACTAAAATTTTCTTTTAAAATGAAAACAATTCTTTTTTCATCGAAAAAATATGTTTAAGACAATAGAATCAATAATATATTTTATTCATAAAAGCAATTAAAAGTATTTCTAATTAAATGGTGTCTTAGTTTTATTAAATATTTTCATTTTACGATTCAGAGCTGATCGTCTATAACTGTGGATCCCGTGTGACAAAAAAAAAAGAAGAAGAAATTGATTATTTAAATTCTCCTAGAACTTGTACTTATAATTAATATATAAACATAAAGCGCCCCCAAAACATTTCTCGACATTTCATATAATTAAATAAGTGGTTGAGGAACAAAAGTAAAAAAAATACATTTTTAAGAAAATTTTTTTTAAACAGAAATAGTTCAAAAATAATTTCTTTCATTTGTGAATAAGTTCAGAAAATTTCATTAAAATCCGACAAATATCTTATTTTTGCAAGAATTTCCAAATCAATTTGTTTTTCACCGAAAAAAAAAAAAAAAAAAAAAAACGCTAATATATGGTCACCCGTTCACCAGAGAAACAAAAAATTTCACCAAAATTTCGAAGGTTCTCAAAAGGATTTAAAAAGAATATATTTTTACATAAAAAAGTATTTGGTCTCTCCTCTTAATAATATCAAAAAGATTTTGACGATAACAATTTGTTTTTATTAAATTTTGGGCATTTTGTCATCATGATATGATAATTTTTTATGGAATCTTTGAATGTGCCTATATTAAAGTGTTTGTTATAAACAATTTATAATATTTATAATACATTAAAAACAGAGTTCAGTATTGGCGGAAGCTGATTAGTTAATAATTATTTTTTGTTCACCTTTGCTGTGGCCAGGAATTGAACTCAAAACACTTTGGATCAAGTCATTGGATTACTTCAACCAACGTTTTTATTCACAAGGACTCATAGCCCAGTGGATAAAAGCGTTGATTGTAGTAATCCAGTGACTCAACCCAAAGAGTTGTGATTTCAATACCTGACCACAGCAGAGATGAACAAAAACTTGAAGAGTTGAGTTACTGAAACTAAGATATCCGAAAGAGGCGTGGCACATGGAAGTAGAACAATCTACCGCGGTGGATGAAATAAAGGGTTCGATTTGAAATTCTTAACAACTGAAGAAAACCAGAACGTAGAACGGCCGAAACGTTGTGAATAGGACAACAAAGATGAAGACAACAGTCAGAAAAATGTAAATAGTTTAAATAGGGTTTATTTTCATTAATATTTAATTAGTTAATTGCTGCAATACATCATGATTCTAAGAAAACCAATATATTTGTTTATTGGAAAAAAACGGGACAAAAAAACTTCTTAGCAATGCGTTTCGTTCCAAGGAATGATTTCTTTAGATTAATAACGGTTTAATAATAATGGCATTAATAATGGAATTAGTTTTATATATAAAACTGGAGGTGGGGGCAGGAAGAAACTACAATAAACGCCGATTACAGTTTACATCGAAACGTTAAAGATGCAAGGACGTTCGGCTTTAAATTGAAATTTTGACGTCCAGCCTATAGAAATTTTAAACTTCGTCTATCCCATTCATATTTTAACAACTTTGTTCTTTTTATTATTTACCGTTATTCTTACCGATATTATTACCGTTATTATTCACCGTTATTATTATTGTTATTAAATACCGTTATTAAACACCGTTATTATTACCGTTATTATTTAGTTATTATTACCGTTATTATTACCTTTATTAAATACCGTTATTATTACAGTTGTTATTTACAGTTGTTACTACAGTTATTATTTACCGTTATTAGTACCGTTATTAAATACCGTTATTATTAGAATTATTATTTACCGTTATTATTATCATTATTATTACAGGTATTATTATACCGTCATTATTACCGTTATTATTTACTGTTATTATTACCGCTATTAGTACCGTTATTATTACAGTTATTATTGACCGTTAATGTTTCCGAATTACTTCAACTATCCTACATTGTATCAGTAGCTATTTTCTAAGGATAAAATTCCTTGTAGAGAAATACAAAATATATTTTTACCTTAATAAAATGCTTTCCCCGTTGATTAAAACTTCATTCTTTTTACTTTTATGTTGACACTGTATAAAAGGTCATTAGATTCGCTTTTTTAGGGTAGAAAAAAATCACCAATTTTGATTCTAGTTGGGAAAAATGTTATAAAGAAAATAAGTAAATTTTCATTTACTTATTATATATATTTTTCCATATATGTCTGAGTTATTTT